AAAGATACAATGCAGAATGAACCAGCTGTGCTCCCTACCCTGAGCTTACACTGGTGATGGGGAGTGTTCTCTGCAAACCTCACAGCCCAAGGGGACTCCATCCATCAGCCCTCCCACCACCACTAAACCTTCCTCAGAAATTTCACTCTACTATCCTCTTTCTTGACCTCCTTCTACAAAAAGTCCATGAAGGCACTCTCTTCCTAAGAGAGTACAAACTGTGTTTATAGGAAAACATTTCTTTTTGGTCTGCTCCTAACCAGACAGCAAACACTTAATGGCCATGTGATGAAGGAAGCTATGGACGAACAAGCCTGGGCGGGCCTCAGGAAGCTCACAGTTTGGGAGAAGCAAGACTCTAGGCACAAAAGCAAAGGGACAGATCCAGGGTTGCAGCCACACAGGATTCTGTCCAGGACAGAAAGCATCCAGGTAACAGTATAATAAAAATAGCTAAGATTTAATGCACTCCCAGTAAGTGCCAAGCACTTGATGTGCATCATCTCACTTCATCTGCACAGCCACCAGTACAGGAAACTGAAGCTTGGGAGTGTTAAATGAATCAGTCAGATCAACACATCTAGTAACCGGCTGAACCAGGATTCATATCCACTTACCCTGACTACAGAACCCAGGTTTTTGTATCCCACCATGCAGGACTTAATGAAGGGCCTTCATTTGGGCAAAGTCCCTGAGATCAGAATCTGAGTCTAAATCCCTCAGAGTTGGAGCCATGTGGGGCACCCACTGGTGGTCAGGTTTGGGGAAAATAACACACTGACTTGATTTAAGGTCAACATGGCCTGAGACAGGGTCAGTGAAGGGTGGGGATAGCTAGGAAAGTAGAGGGCCCAGGAGGAGATGGGGAATGTCAGTGAAACCTGAAAAATAATATGCATTAATAACACAAAGGGAACAATCAGGCAGCAGTAACAGAAAAGTGCAGAGGCCCAGCAATGTGAAATAGCGAGACAAAAGCATTCATGAGAGTCTGTTAACCTGGCATGGAGTGAAGGGCTTGAGGAGGAGACGGGGTGGGAGAGTAAGAAGTCACTAGACAGGTAGCCAGGACCAGATTATGAAAGACCCGGAAGCCATATAAAAGAACTTCATCCTGGGTATGATAAGGCAGGGAGGGTCTAAAGCAGGTGAGTAAGGGATTAGCTACCAGGAATGTATGCAGTACCTAATTTCTGCAAAGGCAGGAAGAAGAGAGAGTGGAGAATATTTCCTGATATGTTGAGAAGGTATTCTGGGTCAGACAGGGAGCTAAACCCTTTTAGACCCATTTTAATATCCTTATGCCAACCCATTTTACAGATGATTAAAAACTGAGAATCACAGGATGCATGACTTACCCAAGGTCACAGGGTTGTTAAGCGGCAAAACTGTGATAGAGACCCAGGTATGTCTGGGTCCCCAAAGCCCAAACATTTTGCCAAGAAGCACTGAAATGAGAAAAGCTGAGAGAATAAAAATGGATTTTATCTGAATGGCAATAAGAAGCATTAAAAGTATAAGGCACTAGACTATAAAGATCAGATTTACATTTTGAAGTTTTCAACATGTAGTATTAAGAACCATTAGAGGTATGAGGGAAGCCAGGACAAGGCAGGTAAGAGAACATACCCAACATATTGAGGCAGAAGTAAGATGGATAGAAAGGGGCATGATGAACTATCACAAGATCCAATTAGGCAGGAACTGAAAAGGTCTTGGTCTCTGCCTGATTCATAGTAAGTTCTCAGTAAACAGAATAACCATTAGTTCAACCTTATCCAAGATAGGACCTATTTATGCCTGCTGCCCGAGCAAAAATATTAATTGTACCTATTTCACTCTTAAAAGTGTCCCACTCAGCACAATAAACACTATAGCCACCCTTTGAATTAGGGTATGTTGATTAAAAGGCCTGTCCCTAGCAGAGCTGGATAAACACTTGCAAGTTCTCATTTAGAGTTCTCCTCTTCGTCCTTCTACCCACTTTCTAGTCAGGAGCCCAGGACAACCACAGGGGCCCAGTCATGGAGCAGTCTAGAGGAGATACCCTCTTGGGGCAGTTCCAATGAGAGCCCATTCTTGGCCATTATTTCCTAATTTGTATCACTATTGATGATGGTAATAATGGCAACACAGGATCCTTCTTTAAGCACTAAGTGCCAAGCCCTACACTTGTAAAAGCTAATTGCTGGGCAAGCATCACCTCTTTTAATCCTCATCCCAACCCTGTCAGGTGGATATTACCACCAGCCCATTTCACAGATGGGAAAGTAGGTTAAGTCACTTTATCAGGGTCACACAGTCAGTTCACAAGGATGGATTTGAATTCAATACTCTCCAACTCCAACCAAATTTCTCAATCACTGCATTTCATTCCCTCTTTCCTGGGAGGCCACCATGTGACTCAAAAAGCAAAGTCTAAACATACTGACTAGACTCTCTATGATTAAAGCAAACCCCCCAAACCAGAATGAACCATCAAGCCCTCAAAGTAACCCCCAAGTAATCCCCACTAATGGAATACTCCGAGCGCATCCCCTTGTCCCACTTTTTCAGAAAACCCCTTACCTGTCCTTAACACCCTTTTCAAGTATGTCTGGAAATGCTAGATGCGAGGGCGGTGCAGATGAGGACTCCCAGCTCCCCACACTCAGTATCAGCTGGTGGGTCCCCAGAAGCCCTCCCCGAAAGAACTCGCCAAATACCGTGCCCCTGTGTGACCTAGGAACCCTCAAGAGCAAGCCCCAAGGCCGCGTTAGAGCAAATCCCCATCGGCGAGAACTCGGGCCGGGTCACCGTGAATCCCCAATACCCGGGGCCGCACCTGCAGCCACTGAGAGTCCTGGGGAGGGTGACGTCTTCTTCCAACACCGAGTCCATCATAGACTCAGAGGGAGTGGTAGCTTCGGTGTCTGAGCAGCGATGGCGCCACGGGGGCCCCCCACAGCCGCGTCAGGTCCCCGCCCCCTCCAACTCAGCTCTTGTTCTGACTCCGGCGGCGCCGCTGGAATTCAAACCGCAGCTGCCGCCATCTTTCCCGGAGCTTCTTCCTACGGAAACGGGGCGGGGTCACCGAGGCGCGCGAGGTGAAGCCAACTTGCCTGGACCAGAAGCCTGGCAGGAAAGTGGAGGCAGGCGCCATCTTAACTAAGGGCAGTGCACTTGGGCTTGGGCCAGGAAAACGCAGAAGAGAGAGGCCGGCTGCCATGTTTTCTGAGGGCATTCAAGCAGAGGCTGGGGTGGGCGCCATCTTTGTTAAGGGCGAAAGCGGGCCGTAGTCCGTTAATTTAAGCGGGAGATGGGCATGGGAATACAGTCTCTTAAGGATCTTCATAGTTCCTAACCCAGTGTGTGACTTTTTAGAATAATGGCCCCAAAATCTTATGTTGGGGTCTGTGCACCCAAAAAGCCTCCTCTGCTTTAAGTTGATACATAATTGGGTGCTTTAGAAAAATCCTACATGCATGGGCAGCACCTGTGGCTCAAGGAGTAGGGCGCCGGCCCCATATACCAGAGGTGCTGGGTTCAAACCCGGCCCCGGCCAAACACTGCAATTAAAAAAAAAAAAAAAAAGGAAGAAAAATCCTACATGCGAAATCTCAAGGCAAGTAGTAATTTGCAGATTTACTTTGAAGTAAATAACTCATCCCTGTGAGGCAAGAGGTCGTTACACTCCCACTCCCATCTCTCACCCTTACTGCCCTTAGAGCTTCCATGTGTAGACTGAGACTCAGAGAGAGGAAATGAGTGTCCCAAAGTAATACAGTATTAACAGCAAGTTTGTCACCTGGAGCCAGATCCGCGGCCTCTGCCAAGCAGAAGAGGCCTCTCTCCAAACCCTGGCTGCCTTTCTTAAAGCACGCAGCAATCCCCGAATACCGAGATAATTTTGGCAGAGCTCAAGCAGTGAAATCAGTCTTCCACTCCCCTTCTCATGTTGCTCCCTCCTCTGCAGGCTGTTGGGAGAGTTCTGAATAAAAATAATGTGAAAAGGTGGGCAGATGGGTAATGGTCACTTTGCCAGCAATCAAGAACAAGTCCCCTCTCAGCCTCAGTTTCTTCATTCTTCAATTAAGTAATCAATCAATTACTTTCCAAAAGAAACCTCTCTAATCCTCTAATCTAAATCAAATCACTTCTTATATGCTTAGCAACTCATATTATTCCTTTGTAGCACTTACCACACTTCGCAATTGTATATATCTATATATTTTTAATGTTTTTCTTTTGCAGTAGGCTGGAAGCTCCATGAAGACAGACACTCTGTTCTGAATTGTTCACTGCTATATCCTCTGAGTACCTGCCACCCAGCAGGTATTTGAAAATACCGTATATGTTAAATGAATGAATGACTCAGTCGGTCAATCAACCTGGAAAATGGGACTAATACCGATACTGCAAGGTTTTGAGGAGGATAATCTGATATATATGAGGAGCCCAATCAATAGTAGGTCTCTATATCCCATATTCATATTCTCTCTGTCTCTCTCTTTCACCTCTCAGGTTTAGTGAGGCTTACAAAGCCCATGATTCTGCACCTGTGCCTCTTCCCCTCCCAGGTCTTCAAGCACTCTTACGATCAGCAACAGAATAACAGGCTGAAAGAGAGAAAGGGCTTGGCTGTCCTTAAAGCCCTGGAACCAATGCTCCTTGCCAGTGCTACATTCACCCTGTAAGACGAGCATGTCTCAAAGCAGGGAAGCTGGGGTAGCAAGATTCCCATGATGGCTCTACCAATGACTTCTGGATCTTTGACACCCACTTCTGCTCTCTGGCCTCAGTGTATACATCTGTTAAGTGAGAAAACTGGATCTCTGAGGACCTTTCAGGACTTTACAGCTCTGGAGATGATTCCCTTGTGTGTATTTCAAATCTACTAACATGCAACCAACTCTTTTCTGGAGAGGGAGACTGAGTTGCAAATTATCACTTGCCAAAGGAAGGGACTACCTTTCATCTGGCCAATGACAGCTCTTGAGAAAGGAAATAAGCAGGAGGACCTACTCATTTAGAGCATGTCCCACGCGTCACTCGTGCAGACATCTCAAATGCACCACTCCAGCCCTCACAACAACCTTCTGGAGGAGGAGCTACCTGTTCTACTTACAGTCGAGAATACTGAGGCTGCACAAAGTCAAAACTACTGACTCAACATTCCCCTGCTGGTCACTGCCAGAACTGGAATATGAACCCAGGTCCCTCTGAACCCCAGTGCACTCATCATTCCAGGCAGGGCACTTGTTTGTTTTTCTCCGCTTTAGAATTTAGGATTGAGAGGTAAGGGCAACATCCAGACGACAGGGTTTAAGTGATGTTCACCAGACTCTGCTTCTTCAGCAATTGCTTCCAGGTAGTGAAGAGGCGAATCTGGGTGTGGGCAGTCTGATTACAGGACTGGAAGTGTGGACACCCGGATTCTGACTTTGCAAACTCCTCCACTTCATCCTGTGACCTGGCACCCCTTTCCCTTGCTACATCTTTATTTTCTCATGTGGACAATGGGGTGGACAATGCTGAGATCACACGTTTGCATTAGCTAATTAGACATTTTGGACACTCTCAAGAAGAAAGAACCTGTGAGTTTTCATTGTGATTAATCCATTGCTTTACTCAGAATGACCATGTTCCCGGGTTATGTACTAAACCTTTTAGTGAACCTTGAAACAGAAAAGAGACTCAATTGCACAAATGAAAGGCTATTTGGGAAGTTGTTTTTCCTTCTTCCATGGTGGTTTCATGGTCAGGGACAGAAGCCTTTGCCCTGTCTCTGTCTCACCATGGCCTTTCTTTCTGCCAAGCCTAGAGGTGACGTCACTGGCACCAGCTGTTTGAGCTATCCGGACCCATCTCCTTGACAACAGCCACATAACCACAAAGCTGGCGTTATTATTTCCTGGGACAAGGTCATATCAAATGGCTGGGAGGCAGTAGTTTGCAGCCAGATGTTTTGGGTGGAACCCTCCTGAGGTTTTAGCAGCTCAAGACACTTGAATTGCCAGGACTAACAGCAGTGATAATGTTTTATAGGATCAATACCTACACATCGCTACTTTGCACTGTTCCATGTCATCCCCACGACACTGTGAAGTGCGATGAGTGTGCTGCTCACAGAAGACAAAACTAAGCGTTCAGAGAGGGAAGGAGATTTGTCAGAGGCCAAAAGGCTGGGGCTGGATTTGAACCTACCACCTCTGACATATAGGGCCGGCACCCTACTCCTTCGAGCCACAGACACCGTCCTCTTTCCTTCTTTCTTAGCTTGTCTTGTAGAAATAATTTCAGACGTAGAAAAAAGTTGCAAACTGATTGCAAAGAAGTCCTCTTGTTTTAGGAAACTTCACTCAGCTTCCTAAAATATTAACATCTTACATAACCATTGCACAATTGTCAAAAATAAGAAATTACACTGATACAATACCATTTATGACAAACTTCATTTAAATTTAATCCATTTTCTTATTAATTCCCTTCAGCTAATCTGGGATCCAATCCAGTATTCCACATAGCATTTACTTGTTACATCTCTGTACTCCCCTCCCGTCTCTGACAGTTATTCATGACATTGACACTTTCTTTAGATTCTTCCTGTCATTGATACAATGTTTCTAGATTTGGGTTTGTGTGGTTTTTCTTCACGATTAAATTCATATGATGCATTTTGACAAGAATACCACAAATGTGACGCTGTGCCCTTCTCAGGGTGCATATCAGGAGACTCACAATGTTAATACGTCTTAGCAATGGGTGATGGTAACTGATTTCTTGACTGAGATGGTATTTGCCAAGTTTCTGTATAGGAAAATTATATTTCCTTTTGTAATGAGTAAGAATCATGTAGGGAGATATTAGAGGCTATGTATCATCACTGACTAATTTTAGCATCTATCGATAATTATTACCAATTGGTATTTTCCAATTGGCAATTTTCTATTTTCATCGCTTCTCCTGTATTTATCAATTGGGATTCTACTATAAGGAAGAGCTTTTCCTTTTCACCCATTTGCTTATTCAATTGCTCATATACAACAATATGGACTCACAAACATTTGTTTTATTTTATGTGTTATAATCCATTACTATCATTTATTTTGTTACACAAATTGTCCTAGATTTAGCCAAACTTCCCTTGGCTGTGCCAAGGTTCAAACACACGTCAGTCTGGTCCCACCATCAGCACTATTTCTGACAGATGGCACGCCAGTCTGCCCTTGCTCTAAGGCACTCCTCCCAGCCAGGCGCAGTGGTTCACTCCTGTAAGCCTAGCACTCTGGAAGGCTGCGGTAGGAGGATCACTTCAGCTCAGAAATTCAAGACCAGCCTGAGCAAGAGTGACACTCTGTCTCTACCAAAATAGAAAAAATTAGCTGGGCATTGTGGCAGGTACCTGGGGACAGACCCAGCTACTTGGGAAACTGAGGATGAGGATTGCTTAAGGCCAAGAGTTTGAGGTTGCTGTGAGTTATGATAATGTCATGGCACTCAACCCCAGGGCAA